GCATGCCACTTCACATGGCTCTTTAGTTTTGCCTAAGGTAATATCTAGCCTTCCCAGTCTCACAAGCTACCAACAACCTCCTAAAAATTCTCTTTCATAATAAACATAATAACTTACCAGTCACATCTAAAATAGCAATAAGTGACACTGCAGATCTTTTCTCATATTTTAATACTTGTAAAGTGGGAGCCTTGAGATACTATTACAAAATGTACAAAACGTAAAAAAAAAGAACCTATTAACACCAAGCTTAGTGGTACATGTGGTGGTACAGACCTGTAGTCCCAGTATTTGGAGAGCTGACAAAGGAAGGTGACAAATTTGTGGCCAGCCTAGACTACACATAGTACCAGGTCAGCCTGAACTACAGAGTGAAACTCTGCAGATAGATAGGTAGGAGGTAGGTGGGTGGGTGGGTGGGTGGGTGGATGGGTGGGTGGGTGGATGGATAGATAGATAGATAGATGAAGTTCCAGAAAGGTAGCAAGCTTAGGGAATTTCTGATCAACCTGGCTTTCTATTAAACATTAGTACTACACTCGACAGCAGTTAGACAGCTCACAAAAACATTGAAATAGAAGCTTAGTACTGGTGGCTCATGCTTGTAATCCTAGCTCTTCAGAAAGATGAAATGTGAGGATTGAGGCTTGAAGCCAGCATGGCAGACAAACCTCTGAAATTCTTTTTTTTTTTTTTTGGTTTTGTCCTTCCTTCCTTCCTTCCTTCTTTCCTTTCTTTTTTTTTTTTTTTTTTTTTTTTTTTTTTTTTTTTTTGTACTGGGGATCAAACCCAGGATATTGTACTTGCTAGGCAAGTGCTTTGCCACTGAGCTATATCCCAGCCCAACTTTTTGTTAACTTTTTTCCCCTAGGCCTGGGGCTTGAACTCTGGGCCTGGGTATTGTCCCTGAGCTTCTTTGGCTCCAGACTAGCCCTCTACCACTTGAGTCACCATGCCACTTCTGCTGAAACTCCTATCTCCAACTAACCTACAAGAGGCTAGAAGTAGAGCTGTGCCTCAGCATGATGCCCTGAATTCAAGTGCTAGAACCAGCATAAAACAATAAAACAAAACACAAAGCTGAGAGCTGACAATATGACAGTAAAGTATCTGCCACCAAGAGCAAGGCTCTAAGTCCAAACCCCAGTACTGCCAAACAGAAAACAAAAAAGAGGAAGACAAGGAGGGAAAAAAAAATCAAAGTTTAGAAGTCAGGAATTCTATATGGAATGACAGCTTACCATGCTACCACATATAGCTGTTCAAGTCTGTACTCATTGGTGCATATATTCACTCAACATTTCTTGAGCCACCTATCTATCAGTCACTGCCCTTGAGAAGTTCACTGTTTAAGAGCAATGATAAGTCGTGTAAATTATAAAATTATTACATAAGTAATAAAACATAAAATATAAAGTATTCATTGTGAGATATACATCACCCCATACCTTGCTAACTGAAGTGGGGTCCATAAATCAGCAGAAGACCTAGTCAGATATACAGAATCTCAGATCTCAGGCAAAATCTTCCGAAACTGAATCTGCATTTTAAAAAGAAATCCAGGCAATTCCAAAGCACATGTAAGTTTTGGAAATCACTGATTTAGAAGATAATTGAGAGCTAGTAAAAGTAATAATCTAAGAATCCAGGTGTGTTTAAGAGTCTCATACCTCATCCTGAGCCTATTAGGAATGTATACAAACCAGGCATAGTGGATCACCTCTGTAATCAGAGCTACTTGGGAAGCAGAGTTAGGACTGGGGACCAAGGCTAGCCCTGGGCAAAGCTTGAAGCAATAGGGGCATGACTCAAGATGTAGACCAAGCTTGAGGTCCTGAGGCCACACTAATATTAAAATAAAAAAGGATATACATACATTTGGGGGAAGGGGGTGATGGAGTTTGAACTTAGGGCCTCAAGCTTGTTCAGCAGGTGCTCCAAAACTTAATCCATGTCCCCAGCCCAAACATAGACTTTTAACAAAGTTTATCTAGTTTAAACAAATTGGAACATAGCACTAACAACAGAAAAAAAAAAAAACAGGAAAAATTATAAACACTGAATTCACTGTAGGCTCATTCAACATAGCAATAATCTACCGTATCTGACTAAAAACAGAGCTAAGGGTCACGCTGTACTATAGTAGCACAAAAGTAATCAACTGTCAAAAACATGCCTCATCTAACTAGATCATAAATTCCTGGAGGGCAGGGACCTAGTTTTATTCTAGTACACTTCCATTTGTAAAATGAATGATCCTTGGTCATTAAGATGAGCTTTTGATAAGTGGTAAGGGAATACATTTTAGAAAACTTTCCACTGGACAAAATTAAAAATGTGACAGTTACTCTTTTTATAAAACTAAAAGTGTCACAATTCTTTAACAATTCATTCACTAAGTACTATAAGAAAAGAGGTTTTACTGAGTCTATGGCTGCAATCCCAAGGTCTTTCCTATATCTAGTAAGTTTCCTATCTGGTGAACTGATGAGAAGGACAGAAAAAGAAAAATTAGAAGAAAATAAAGGGAAAACAAAATCCCAACAGAGTATGTAAGATTCTTCCAATCACAAAAGTAAAATAAGCAGATGTGGGAAGCCACATCAAAGATAAAAACAATCCTAGAAAAGAATAAATGCTACCTCTAATAAATATTCACTCCAGATCCCTTGTTTGTACTAGATACACCTAAGCATCCTAATCAAAAAACTTTCTTAAAACAGGTTAGCTTGAGAAACATTTTGCCTAAATACACCTCAATCAGTTGACTACAGGAAATATATAATTGTCTTCCAAAACTGCAGTATGCATGCTATAACCATCCATGTCACTTTCTGGAAAGTTCTGCAATGTTGATATCACTCTGTTGGGGGGGAGGGGAGGAATAGAGCTTGAACTCAGGGCCATGTGCTCTTGCTTGGCTTTTTCACTCACAGTTGGCACTCTACAACTTGAGCCATTTTTTTCTGCCCAGAATAGCTTCCATCCTCAATAGTCAGATGTCAATCATCTGATCAGCTAGGATTACATGAGACACTCATTTTTTAAAAGGAATTCTATAATCCCTTAAGAACTTTTTTAAACCCCAGCAGCATAAAGTTAAAAACAAAACAAAAAACTTGTCTATGATTTTCCCAGACCTATTTTTCTGCAACTTGTCTTCAGTCATGCAATTTGTTATTAACTCTATAAATAAATCATTCCTGTTACTGCCCTAATGAATATTTTAATCATCAGCCATGTGCAATAGTCAACATTTGACATGTGGCTAGACCAAAATGAAATGAAGGCTAAATGTAAGATATACACCAGATTTCAAGGAACTGGATTAAAAATGAGGAAGAATTTTTTTGGGTGGTGGGGAGGGTAAGTCATGAGGCTTGAACTCTGGGCCTTGGTGCTGTCCCTGAGCTCTTAAGCTCAAGGCAAGCCCTCTACCACTTGAGCACTGCGCCACTTCCGGCTTTCTGGGTGGTTAATTGGGAGATCAGTTTCACGGACTTTCCTACCTGGGCTGGCTTTGAACTGCGATCCTCAGATCTCAGCCTCCTGAGTAGCTAGGATTACAGGCGTGAGCCACCAGCCCTGGGCAGAAATTATTTTTTAACAATGATTTTATGTTCAAAATTACATGTTGGATACATTAGCTTAAACAAAGTGATTATTGGAAATAATTTCAACTTTCTTTTTATTAGCTTTTGGTGAGGCTAACAGAAAAATCTAAGTTATATACATGACTCACATTTCTTTAGAACAGCTTGCACCTTTTCTTCAAGTTCCATTTCAATCACCAATGCTTCCCTGAAGTTTTTCCCAATGAACCCATGTGGAACTTAATAATATTCACACTCCCAAAGAATAAGATTAATTTTATAGTATTACAAAGTGTACCTGTCAGTCCGCCAAGTAAAATATAACCAAACTGCAGAAACCATATCTAGGTCATGATTAGTTCTTCTCCTACACCTTGGAGTGTACTTCACTAATATAATGTTTGATATCTGGCAGTTAGGGTGAATTTTTCTTTTCTTTCCACACTAAAGTAGATGTCTACCACTGCTTTATATTGTTTGGTGTTTATTTGTGGTAAAAAGAAGTGTCAATGAACATGTAATATGAACAAGCTCATAACGTCAACATTTAGATCAATTGTAAAAATTTCGTATTCATAAACACATGAAGTAGGAGACACTGTACTGCGAATAGAAACGAATTCAAGGTAGGAGCATAAGATGAGTAAGACTGGGTGAGTAATGCCTACCAAGGTCCTTCCCATAACTCCGGGAACAAATCAGGTAAGCATGCAAAGGCTTGGGAGCGTCAAGAACAAAGTTCCACATTGCATTCAAAGCTATGAAATCAAGCTGTAAGGAAAGTGGTAGGAAGGGATAAGGCAAACTTACACCAGAGACAAATATCGGAAAGAAAACTGTTGGAAGCGAGAGTTTGTTTTTGGAAGGAAGGAGGGAAGGAGGGATGAGGAGGAGGAGGAGGAATATCATCAGTGTGGAAGGGTTTTTCTGGGTGTTATCTTTGAACCCTCAGACGATGGTCGCAGGGCTGGGACAAGTTCAAGAAGTCTTCAAATGGTAATACCAGGATCTCTGATCCACGTCCAAGGAACTTCCTTCTTAACCTGCCTACTCCTCTAAGTGCCCAGCCGACCCCGTCCCGAAGGCAGCCTCCTCCGCTCGCTCGGTGGGCCGGCGGACGGAGGCGGAGCGCTGGGCTGGGGCCTGGCTGCTGCACAGCACCCCTCTCCCGGGCCGTCCAGCCCCGGCGCGTCCAGCCCCGGCGCGTCCAGCCCCGGCGCCCGCAGCACAGCCCCGGCGCGAGGGCGGCTGGGAGCCCGCGGGCAGGGGGGCGGGGCAGGACGCCGCACCTCGCCGGGGACCGGGGCTCCGTTCCGGGCCAGCGCCAGCCGCTGCCCCGCAGACCCGCAGGGTGCTGGGGAGGAAGAGCATGGGGCCAGGGGGAGCCAATCCTAGGCTCTCACTCACCAGCCGTCGCCGCCCGACGTCGGCAGTGGCAGGACCTCTTCTCCTTCCGCCATTGCTGTTGACGTCCACGTCACTTTGCCGAAAAGTGGGTCTGGCGCCGAGAACGACTCTGAGACCCAACGTCGTAAAAGGTCTTCGGAAGTCGGGCAGTGAGGTTCCCACAGAGGGAAAGAAACAGGGCGGGGTCAAGGGAACGGGAGGAATGAGACGCCGTGACGTCACGACGTCCCGAGGGTGAAAAGGCGGTGTCTGGCGCTAGAGGCGTGGTCTAAGGGGAGCTGCTCATCTTTAAAAGACTACAAATCCCAGGATGCCGCGGGGCCCAGCGAGCAGAGTGGCTGTGGCGTGATTGGAGGAAAGCGCGTCTCCAGCGCGAGGTTCTGTGAGCGTGGGAAATCGCTGCTTGGCGTCCGCTTAGCGTCGTCCTTCCCACGTAGAGAGCTGGGATCCCTGGCGGTGGAGCTGGGGGGGGGGGAATGGAGGAATGCTCACAGGGGTATCTTCTTTACATCTGAGTATTTGATACTTATAACTCAACGGAATGGGAAAGAAAACTGTGTTCTAGCCTTTTACCCGGAGCGTAAAACCAGACCGTAGAACTGGGGGAAGCGGGGCGGGGGAGGGGAGGGCGGATGAAGCGGGCGAAAAGCTTAAGTAGGACATCAGAGACAAGCAGGCCCCGGCGCCGGTGGCTCACAACTGTCAGCCACTCAGGAGGCTGAGATCTGAGGATCGCGGTCCAAAGCCCGTCTGGGCAGGAAAGACAGTGAGACTCTGATCTCCAATTAACCACTAGAAAACCGGTGGCGCTGTGGCTCAAGTGGTAGAGCGTTCGCCTTGAGCTGAAGAGCTGAGGGACAGCGCCCAGGCCCAGAGTTCAAGGCCCACGACCGACCAAAAAAAAGAAGACAAAGCAGGGTCAAAATGTGCCGACACTGTGAAACTGTTTGCTAACTTTGTGCTGAAATTAAAGATCCTGCTTCTGTAGACAGCTTACTTGCTCAAAAGCTGTGCAATCTCGGCCACCTGTGAGTGGCCTTTAAAATTCCCTAAGCTGTTTGGGTCCCGTACTGTTCCCTACTGCTGCCGTAGTGGGGGACAGTCGCTGTATGGCTAATGAAGATTTCTAGTCCGGTTGACTGAGTGTTGGACTATCTCTTGGGGATTGTGGAAAATCGCAGGATACTTCCTTTTTTATGCCTTCAAAATCTGGCGCCAGCGGTACATGCCTATATTCCCAGCAACTCAGAAGGCTGGAATCTGAGGATCACAGTTTGAAGTCAGCCCCAGCAGAAAGTCTGTTGAGAGTTTTATCTCTAATTAACTATCAAAAAGCAGGAAGTAGAGCTGCAGCTCAAGTGGTAAAGTGTTAGCCTTAAGCACAAATCTCAGAGTCAGCACCCTGAGTTCACACAGTCTTCTACCACCCTGAAAGATCAAGTCCAAATTCAAAATTCAGAAGCAGAAGTAGGACAGTCCTACTTCATAACGGGATAAATATGAAAATTTTGGTGTTACTGTAGTTTATCTATCCAAGTAGTTTGCTTCCTTCCTATCAATCCTGTGAGAACTGCTTTCTAAAAAGTTCCTGCTTTAACAAGGTGCTTTGGCTCTTGTTAATTACACTTTCGTTATATCCTTTCCCTGCTGCACCTGAATTAAAACATCTCTGTTAGAATCTCATTGAATTTTGGTTACATCCTGCTAACTAAACCATATCCTTTTGCTAATGGTGAACTTGAGCTCAACCAATGTGAGCAGAGGGCAGGACCTGCTGGGCTAGAGGGGGGAAAGACAGCAGCTGCTGCTCGCTTGCCAGGTTTGGAGCTGATAGCACACCCTTCTGCAGAAGTAAATTGCCTTTCTGAGTTCCTTTCAAGTTGGTGTCCTTATTCCTACATGACACCCCACCATCCCAAACTATTAGCTAAGCAAAACAATTCCGGACAGATGATGCCATTTGTATTTGGTGTAAAATACGTAATGTGCTAAAATATGGAGTTGATATATAGATTTGGGAATAGCATTTGAGTGGGAAGAAGATAGTCAAGTAAAAACAATTTTTTCTTTTCTTAGCGATATGAAACTCAGGCTGGTCTTGATTCCAGGCTGGCATCAATTCTGGGCTCAATCTTGTTGCCTCAGCCTCCCTTGTAGCTGAGACTATAGACATTGTCTATGATAAGGGCTTAAATATTCAATGTTGTATTTATTAAGAAGTGGCTACATAGATATACTTTATGGAATCTATACTTTGCTATTTAAAATCTTTGAGACTTTAAGACTTTAAGATTGTTTGCATATCATCTTTATAATAACAATAAAAATGTTTATTAGCTAAAAAAAGTCACTGCAAAATCCATGGTCCCTGTTTGATGTTCAGTTCTTCATAAGGAAAATTGCTTTTTACATGAAATAAAGCTTTTGATGCTCATGATTGGTAAGAATAAAGTATGTGACTATAGGTCAATTTGTCATCCAAAACTCAGAACCTCCACCAAATTCCTTCAGTTATTGCCAGCAGATTTTCAGATGCTTCTCAAAAAAAATAATAAAAATAAAAAGGCTTAAAGGCTAACCAGTTAGTTAAGGTGTTCATTAGTTAAGGTGATTCTAATTATCAATTGAAATTAATTTTGTGTGTAATAACAGTAGTGATTTTCATAGTCTGTGCAGTCAAAATAATATTGTGGCCAGGCGCTGGTGGCTCACACCTGTAATCAATCCTAGCTGCTCAGGAGGCTGAGATCTGAGGATCGCAGTTCAAAGCCAGCCCGGAGAGAAAAGTCCATGAAACTCTTATTTCCAATAAAACACCAGAAAACTGGAAGTGGTGCCATGGTTCAAGTGGTAGAGCGCTAGCCTCGGGCTGAAGAGCTGAGGGACAGTGCCCAGGCCCAGAGTTCATGCCCCATAACCACCACTACTACCACCACCACCAACAACAACAACAATAATAATATCCTGTTAAACTACATCACTTGAGAGCTGGGGGCTTGGCTTAAGTGACAAGAGTGCCTGTTTACCAATCTTGAGAACCTAAATTCAAAGCTCAGTACTGTCAAATGCAGATGTCTTTATGTGTACACACATGTCACTTGACATTTTCAAGTCGTTTTTAATTCTGCAAAAGTAAGGTCAAAATTTCTATTCTCTTTTAATAGATTCAGAGCCAGTTTTTCAGGCATGCAACCTTTTCAATATCAGAAAACCCCATGTTTACACAAGCCATGTATTTGCTCTACTGCTTTGTTGTTGCCACCACGAAATTCTTAATAATTTTGGAACATTTTGCATTGGTCTTTGCAATTTACATATCCAGACTTAGATAGGGTCAATAGCATATTGATGTATACTAGGAGATCTCACCTGTAATTCTTTGTTGATATCTTCAAGGGTATTTGTATCTGTGGTTCTTCTCCCTATTCTGTTTTCAGTATTCAGTTTGAGATCATGATATTCATGTTTGAGATCATGATATTCATGGTGACATCCTCTCTCCTCCAACGATAATTCTAAGAATCTCTCTGTGAAGTCAAGTGCTAGGAAGTGCATATGCCTGTGATTTTTTGTTTCTTGAACAGGTTCCACTGGCTCACTATGATCTTTATGTTTAGTTGTTAATGTCCAGGCTGCTGAGCTACTACTTGATGTAGGTAAGTCTCCTGCTCATAGCCTTTCTTTTTTAAAACATTTTTTATTATTTTAAAATATAATGTTATTGTTATTATTAAAGCGTTGTACACAGGGGTTGCCATTCCATAAGTCAGGTAATGAGTCTATTTCTTTTTGGACAATGTCACCCCTTCCTTGGCTTCCCTCCCTCCCCCGCCCCCCCCCCCATATCCCCCTCTGGTCCCTGCCCAGAGTTCGTTTTTGTTTATCTTCTGCCTGGGCATTTCCCACAGCTTGCTTGTCTTTGGAAAAGACACAAACAAAACAAAACAAACCACCTGGATTCGTTGGTGCCCAGGATGCTAAGGTAATGTAGGTCTTTAAGGTTGCTAAATCTGCTGATCTTAGCCCTTCCTTTTACTCTGAATCTGGTTTGTTTGCATTTTCCTCCAACATACCTGTCTTCCAAAGATGACAAAGATTTTGAAATAACCACAGATCATTTTCTGTTTGTCTTCAGTTTTTATAGATGTGGCTTTCTGAATATTTTTGTGCTTTAAAAAATACTCAAGATCCACCCATTTACCTGGATTGTAAAATATTTATGTTGTTATATATTTATTGCATTTGAGTGGTAGGCCTCTGCTTGCAACAAACAACAACAACAAAAATCAAAAACCCTTTACAAAAGTGAGAAATTTCATTATGAGATAATCTGCCGGTGTGTTCTTCTCTTTAATTGTCCTCTCTTTAATTACAAGATTTCTATTGGTGACTCTAGGTGCTATTAGTTGCTCCTTTCATTTTTGTATTCCATCCAGAATTGCCTCAACTGCAATAAGAACCTTTTGCCTAGAATATTGGGGAACAAATTTGGAATGAAGAAATGATGAACTAGGCGCTGACATTATACATCCTAAACTCAAAAATCTGTGGATCTCTATCCAAATGTTTATCTGGCTCCATCTATATAACGTATTAAAGAGTCAACTTTAATTAGCAAAGATAACTACTGGTAAGATAATGGAAAAATATTATGGTTTCCGGCCCTTTTTATCACTGTTTTCTCAACACATTTAAGTGAATTAAAAGCAGATGTTGAAATTACTGCCAACTGTTCACTCGCTGTATGTGAATGAGAATTAACTCTGTTCTTTTCATCATTAAATTAAATTACAGCCTTCAGTGGTTAAAAGGGTTTTGAAATGCAAAGCCTGATGGGATTTTAAAGTTACAAATAATACTCGATAATTTTGAAAATGTTTGTCCTTGTAAGAAAATAGGAAAAATCCTGGAAACATTTAGAATTCTGAAGCCCTCACATATCTGTAGAAAGAAAAATGAATTTGTTATATAACAAGCCCTACATTTTCATGTAGTAATATACCCAAAACATCTTAGAAATGGTAGTCATTCTTTTTTTTTTTTAGGTCCGGTCATGGGGCCTGAACTCTGGGCCTGGGCGCTGTCCTTCAGCTCTTCAGCTCAAGGCTAGTGCTCTACCACTTGAGCCACAGCGCCACTCCCGGCTTTTTTTTGCTTATGTGGTGCTGAGGAATCGAACCCAGGGCCTCATGCATACAAGGCAAGCGCTCTACCACTGAGCCACCTTCCCAGCCCCATGGTAGTCATTCTTAAACAATACAAAATTCAGTATGAAGCAGAGCCCAGGTGACAAGGCTCACTAAGAGTTGTTTACAATTTCAGAGGTGGTTGAGCATAAAGAAGGCACAGGTGATATGGACCAAGGCCTTGAGCAAGGTTACTTGTAAAATAAAGAACGTGTTGTAGTTAATGCAGCCTCACAGTAACAGCTAACCTCTTAGAAAACCCTGTGGGTTTTTTTT